TAGTAGTTTAGTCTTTATTATTGAATCCTGTAATTTCTATACTGAATTGTGTCTTCTATAACTTTTCTTTGCTTGTCATTTGTTAATTTTTTTTAGACAATAGAAAAATGTTAAAATTAGTCATGGAGGACTTAAAAGGGCGTGGTGGTCTTGTTCTTTTGGTTGTCAGAAACAGCCTTCTGATAACTGGAACTAACAAGCCATCAATTCTATTCTCACTTGTTCCCTCGAGTCTCTCTCTGTCTGCTATGTTCTTTTTTTAAGTGGTTAACATTGGGGGTTTATTTTCATGCAAACATCACATTTCTTTGTCTTTTTTAATTTTATTGTATGTTTTTCCATTACCATTTATCCCCTCCCTACCCTCTTCCCCCTCTAGTCATCCCCTCCCCCTGCTACATTCCTCTCATTTTCTTGTATTTTTTCTTATATTTCTTATTCTTACTCTATATATCTTTTCTCTGTTTTATTGGTTTTGTTTACATATACATTTTATTGTCTTATAAATTTATTTTCATACTGGCCTTATCATAGGTCACTGGTCAGCCCGATTAGTTGACATGGAAGTAGTTGTAAGGGAAAGTCACAGGTAAGAATACATCACTGCTAGTGATAGCTCCATAGCAGAGGCTGGGGATTGGATAATTTCTCACTTTAGACATAGGGGTGATTTAGTTAACTGGTATTGTTAATGTCTCTTCCTTAGTCCTTAGAAGGAAAAAGTATACCAGTAATGATGGTGGGTGATAGTCATTGCCCTAAACTAGTTTCTCATGTCTTGCAGGAGAATGCTTTATTTTTGTTTTTGTTTAAAACTCACAAATTATATTACTATAATGGTTTGAACCCTATTATTATACCATTATTTTTTCTATAGTAAATACTTTTTGTTTTAAATTCCCCCTAATTTTAAAAGTTTGCATCTACCTTATATATCGTTTACCCTTCATGAGTCACTTTGTTGTTATATGTATATACAGTGATGTTTCTACTATTCACCCAATCCAAAGGATATCCTATTATGTTATTTTAGGCCATTTATTCTCTTTAAAGATTTTTATTTATTAATTTTTAGAGAGAGGGCAAGGGAGAGAGAATGAGAAGGAGAATGTGTGGTTGCCTTTGTGTGTCCCCAACTGAGGACCTGGCCAGCAATCCAGTCATGTGTCTTGACTGGGAATCAAATTGGCGACCCTTTGGTTTGCAGGCCAGCACTCAGTCCATGGAGCCACACTAGCCAGGGCTATTTTCGGCTATTTATATGTATGGCTATAATAGATGCTTGGTGCTAATATTGTCATTTTATTTTAATTTTTTTGTTTTTAATATTTCCTACTTAATTTTTTTTATTTCCTGCTTTTTGCTCTATGTTCTGTTGTTGATTTCTGTCCCAAATAATATAGAAAGTATGTAGTATGCTTCTGTTTTAATTTTGCTTAATTCTAAATTTAAATAGTACTCTTAAATTTGTTGTTATCCATTTCAGAAACATTATTCTTAGGAACAGTTGAAAGGTGAAGCTCACTTACATGTCATCTGATCTCCTGTGCCCAGTTTTATTATACTGGGTTGATTTTTTGTGGTCTCACAGTTATAATATATAAGGTTCTCTAGCATACTTTGTAACATTCAAGTCAGTAATTTTTGTAAATTCTAATTTTTTAGCTTTAGCTTTTGACCATGCTACAACCTTTTCATACAGAATTCTTATCTTTAGTCTGTGTTTTGTAATTCATTCTTTGGAAAACACGCCTTTTTCTCTGATTATGAAAGTAAATGTTAATTTTAGAAAATTTGAAAAGTACATAAAAGCACAAAGAAGGCAAAAAAAGCCACTCTGATCTCACCATTGAAAGCTACTTTAGTATATGTTCTTTGTCTTTTCTCCCCATGCATGAATGTTATTACATACAACACTTGATTCATCATATATGTACTGTAAATTAATTATGTAGTGAACATTTTCCAACTACACTAAAGTCGGGCTGTAGAATACATCATGGTATACTCTAAGTAACATAGGTATGTTATGATTTAATGAATTCCTTATTGTTAGACAACTAGGTTGTTTACAATTTGCTCTTATAAATTGTGCTGTGAAGAATGTGGTTGATATACATGTGGATATTTTTTTTAAGGTTAAACTCCAAGAAGTAGAATAATTCTCAGGCTGTACGGTGTGGTAGTTAAGAGTGTTGACTTTGGAATCAGATTATCTTGAGTTCAAATGTTTACTGCTTAGGTGTGTGTATTTAGGCAAATTATTAATGATTTATCTCTCAGGTTTCTTAACCTGAATATTGCAAATAATAGTTTATATATAGAAACCACTTCAAACAGTGTCTGGGGAGTAATAAAAGCTCACAAATGTTAGATGCTTGAATTCTCATAGTTGTCATTTTTATTTAAAGGATATGTACATTTGAAATGTTTTTGATATGTATTATATTAAAATTTTCTCCTGAAAAGTTGTATCAGTTTGTATTCCTACCAGCAAAATATGAAGGTACCATTTACTGGCTCTAGCCAACAGTTGTGGTTATAATTAAAACATGCTTTTTATTTTTTGAGGATGTGAGTCAATATTATAGGGATAATCTGTGTCTTTGTTTCAATTTCCAATTTTTGGTTATCGATTCTAAATGTTTGCGTTTTGCTTATTTTCATATGGTGTATTTATGTTTAAGTCTCTTTAAATAAATATCCACATTTTAATGAACCTTTTGTGTTTTACATTGCCTTTATTTTTCTAGTTGATTATTTGCCTTTTAATTTTATTAAGTCATTTTATGTATTTATTTTTACCATTGTGAGATGTATATGTAACAACAATTCTTTTCCATATAGTTCTGCCTTTTAAAAATTTATTTACTCATCTTTTTGATATTTATTAAGTACCTTCTCTGTGCCAGATATAGATATATATTTTTTAAGTATATTTGTCATTTGAGAATGATTTTACATTTACAGGAGGTCCTGAAATAACATCGTTTCCTTATAACATTAATGAGATGGCCCAGGGCACTTAACTCATTTATTTATATCAGTTAACTTACAGTGAACTTGGTTTTATTATACATTGTTTCATTTAAAGTCACAGAACTTATTGACGGTGTTAAGGGTGGACTTGACCATACAGAAAAGTAGCAAGGGTAGTACTGAGTTCCCATATGCCCCTCATCTAGTTTGTGCTTTTGCTGACATGTTATATACTCATTTATTATTACCATGGTACATTTGTCACAACTAAGATACCACCATTGCGTAAACTTCACATTTTATCTGGATTTCACTAGTTTTCCCACTAATGCCCACTTTCTGATTCAGGATCCCAGTCAAGGTAATGTCAACCCTTGGACAACACATTGGTTGGGGCACTGACCACGTGTAGTCAAAAATCTGCACATAACTTTTGACGCTCCCCCCAAACTTACCAATAACATAAACTGTTGATTAACACATATTTTATATGTTCTTTGTGTTATGTACTATATTCTTACAATAGAGTAAGAGAAAAAATGTTATTAAGAAAGTCATGAGGAAGAGAAAATGCAGTCACAATACTGCACTTATTTACTGAAAAACACACATGTCTGAGTGGACCTGAGCAGTACAGACTCATGTTGTTTGAGGGTCAGCTACCTTTAGTTGTCATGTTTTCTTATTCTCCTTTGGCCTGTGACAGTTTTTCAGTCTTTCCTTGCTTTTCATTGTAATGAGAGGCTTTAGGACTACTGGTCTTGTATTTTGTGGAATGTTCTTCAATTTGCATTTATTGTTTTTCTGATTGTTAGACTGGGGTTATTTATATCAGTATGGACTCATTGATATTTATTTTATACTTGGGTTATAATCCAGTATTACTTTATTTTGGTGTTTATATTATTTCAGCTTTGACCATTCTTTCCTCTTGGTTTCTGTGTCCCTTTGACAAGCCCCAACTTTTATTTTATTGTATTTTATTTTAATATTACATGATGTTCTGGTATAATCTTCTGAAAACCCTGCCCTGGCCCTAGAATTGGCCACTTGCCAACAATCCCTATTTACTTAGTTGGACTATGGTATGTAGAAACCAAGATCTGGTAATGGATGTACTCATTGATACTGAGGTGTCACTGCTTCTAGTTCTTCTTAGTGAGCAGAGGTAGGAATGCTGTGTGTGTGTGTGTGTGTGTGTGCGTGTGTGCATGCACACATATCTGTAATTACTTAAATCTGTTTATATTATGCTAAACATGAGTTCACAGTGATATCTTTGACTCTAATCCAGTAACACTGGTTCATTCTAACCTCCTACCTCTTGCTTTTTTGCAACTTCTCATTCCAAAGTGAGAAGGTTGGCTCCCACCATCTACCATCCTTTTACTTATTTGTCCAACCTGAGTATACATGTAAATTATATCAGAATAACCCATATTTCTGTGAAAGACAGCTTTACCAAATAAAGTACAGTTATCCATTTGTCTTCAGTCTACAGTTTCCAGTGAAAGCACCGTCTTCCAAAGTTATGTCAGTTTCTTTTTTAACCTACAGTTCTGCTTTTATTGATGGGCTTAAAAGACTTTCTTGATCCAAAGATTGATTGCATACATGTTATATAATATGTAATGTGTAACAATTTATGTAATATGTATTAACACAGTATAATTGTATCTAATACAATAAGTATATATGGTATTTTATTTATTATTAGGTATTTTATTGCTTTGTTTTTTCTCTTAATACATCTATAATTCATTTTGTCACTTAGTGTGAAGTAGAACTATATTTTTCTTGGTTTTCTCAATTCTTTGAAATGCTCCCTTTATCATATTTTAAAATCTTATACATAATAGATATTTTCTGTTTTTTACTCTTCTTTCATTTTCTCTTGTTCAAGTTCCGGACATTATATAACTTGAAAATAATTTTAGTATCTGGTAGATTATGCCTCTTTGCATATTTATGTTCACTTATTCTTTTAATTAATTGCTGTAATTTTATTTCCTTTATTTCAGGAACATTTTAGTGGATAAACCAAATGACCAATCTTCAAGGTGGTCTTCAGAGAGCAACTACCCTCCCCAGGTAAGGTTATGTGCAGCACCTGATATCATTTAGAAATCAAAATTTAAATAGGTACTTAATTGATAATTATGGAATTTATTAATAGTTTACTCAGTGTTTGAAATTGTGAGGTAAATTTTTATTTCCTCTGTGTTTAAATTTTGGAAGCATTTTTATTTCATAGGCAAATGTATAGGATTTGATGAAACTTCTGATTTTACTTCTGTCTACTGGAATATTTAAAATCTAATTTATATTTTTTCTGGATTACTAATGATGCAAAAGTAAGTTTCTTGATCCCTTTTGAGGAAAATGTTAACTACAAAGAACTAGTTAAGGGGCTGTTACTGTTCCAAATAGTAACTGGTTGGAGCACTGATCTGAGCAGAGGTTGTGCCTTCTGTGAAACTCAGGTCATTCTGTATATGCTTCAGGAAATGTTAGTAAGTTTAACTTTGACTCAGTGACCCAGTGACTACCTTTTAAGAAAAATGAACTTAATATAGTTTGTTATTTTATGAAAGTAGTATATTTAGATGACATCAGGATCATGAGCTAAATTTTTTCCTTAACAAGTGGTGTCTGAAGTCATCATCTGAATTTAAAGGTAAGTATTGTTTCAGTTATACACTTTTAGTATTAACACTTATTATTTCCACATCCTTGAGGAAAAACTAATGTTCTGATAGGTGGATAAATAAAAAAGCAGATGGATAAATAAAACTTACTTAATTTTTTTTATTTTACTATAATTCTTAGAAACCTAGTCTTTTATTTTTTCTTTTATATTATTTCTTTTTATTTTTTGCATACCTTTATCACCAGATATTTAAGTGTTTCATTGCAAAATACATGTCCAAAGAGTATGTACAGCTTATATATACATTGTAAAGAATGATAGAACAAATACCTATTTACTCATCAACCAACTTTAGAAATGGAATTTGACTGCAACTTTTTGAAGCCTCCTGTGATCCCTGTCTAATATCTATCCTCTAACCCCATTCCAATAATTATTTCATATTTTGTTAAGCATTTTCTTAGAGTAATGTATATATATTTATAAATATCCTATGATTTGAGCTTTCTCTGGCTTTTACTTTACATACATATAAAATAAATCATTAATCTTTTGTGACTTGCTTTTTTTTGCTTACCATTATATTATTAATGTTTATAATAATACAATGGGTATAATTGGAGTTTGTCAATTTTTACCTCTGTTAGTATTCCAGTATGAGTATGGTAAAATGTACTTATTCATTTTGTACTTGATAGGCTTTTGATTTTTTTTAAACAACAGTTTTTTGCTATTATGAACAGGGTTCTATGAGCATTCTTGTATGTTGTTTCCTGGTACACATGTAGAAAAGTTTCTTTAGGCTATATAGCTTGGAGTAGAATTACTGGATCATAGGGTGTATGTACATTCAACATTTTTCAGGCAATGCAAAACTGGTTTTACAAAATGGCTGTATAATTTATACTCTCACTGGCAGTGTATGAAAGTTCCTATGCATTGTATTCTCCCTATTTTTCTGTGGCTGATTTTTAGATTTTACCAGCCCAGTGGATCTTTCATTATAATTCACAAGAGTTAGGCTCCTGTGAGCCTCTGGTCATAGCATTTTCATCAGCTATTTAATACATAACTTTATGTATATTTCTGTTTAAAGGCACTTTATTTTATGTGTATTATTTATTTATTCATTAGCATTGAAGTCATAGCCAACAGCGCTATTATTACTCATGCCTGAACGAAGCTTATCTAACACATTTTCTCTGTAAGGCTCATCACAGCCTTCTTATATTTAGAAACAGTAGACAGCACTTTAGCACTATACTTGGGGACTAATTTAGACAGCAAAATCACTAACTGAAAGTACAAAATATAAAATATATGGCACTAAGTAGATGGCAAAAAGGACTTGTTTATATTACGAGAGATAAAACAAGAAGGTATAGCGTCCCTTGTTTGACCTCAGCTGGGAGATATGCATTAGGAGACTCAAATTTTTTGCTGTTCTCTGTGTGTCTGGGAATAACTGAAAGTGCTGTGTGTATGGATTTTGGTGATAAAAATAAATTTTAGTGTGTAGGCGAATTCACAAATATGGAATCCATAAATAATAAAGCGCAACTATATTGTAACTAACAATTAATTTAGCATAACTTAAGTAGGTTTGAGAATTAGAGAGAAAAGAAGACTCTGAAAAGTCATATTCATCATGATGAAATTTTAGGTCTTGAGGACCTTTTCTAGAGTCTACTAATACATTGGATACAATGTTGTTCTATATGGTTAATTATTGATTTAGGTGTCAATAGCTGGAAGCAACTTTGTGCATGTGGGCATAGCTATAAAAGATAGGCACAGTAACAGCAAGCTGACAACTAACCAGGTGTCATGAGTAAGAAGACAAAAACCTAAGTGAAAAATAGAAGGACAAAAATATAGCATTTAGGGGGTTGTTAGTGTAAGGATAAATAATATTCTAAATTTTAGTAGCCTCCAGGATAGTGTTATCTAGTAAACTTTCTGCAGTGATCTAAGGTATGTATTATGTTATTAGAATGAACTGTTTGATGCTCATAGTGCTTTACTCTGTTGGTAAGAAATTTTAATTATGTTTAATATGCAGCTTAAGCAGATAAGAAAGCTAATAGAGTGGGTTATCTAGAGAAGAGTGGAAATCAGACTCAACCCCTCTTAGCTACTCCTTTTTTTTCCTAGAATGAGGAGAAGCTTGCATATATTCATGGGTATTAGAATGTATAGCATGATATGAGAACACCACCACCACAGCATGAATAAACCCTAAATACCTCTCTCTACAGCTCATGTTGGGGTATGAGTGGAGTACGTGTAGGTGAAATAAAAATATTTTTCTTTTAATATATTTATTATTTTTTCAAATGACAAAACTAAAACATTTTGTTAGGACATAGATGCATATTAAGTTGTTTGGATGTAATTACTTAACTATATTGAACTGTTAGTATTTCTTTTGGCCTTGGAAGTTTTCTCTCCCTCTCTCTGTGTCTATAAGTAAGTAAAAAAATCTTAAAATAAAATGGGCAAGGGACCTCAATAGGCACTCCTCCAAAGAAGGAGACATGTAGATGGCCAGTTGACAAAATGCTCTGCATCACTAGTCATCAAAGAGCTCCAAATTAAAACCACAATGAGATACCACGTCATACCTGCCAGAATGGCTATTATCAATAAATTAACAATAAGTGCTGGTGAAGATGTGGAGATAGGGAAACCCTCATGCACTGTTAGTGGGAATGCAGACTGATGTAGCCACTGTGGAAACACACTATAGAGTTTCCTCAAAAAATTAAAAATGGAACTGCCTTTTGACCCAGCAATTCTACTTCTGGGAATATATCCAAAGAAACTGGAAACACCAATTTGAAAGAATATGTGCACCCCTATGTTCCTTGCAGTGTCATTTGCAATAGTCAAGATCTGGAAACAGCCCACGTGCCTGAGTAGATGAGTGGATAAAACAGCTATGGTACATTTACGCAAAGGAAAACTACTGGCCTTTGTGTAAATAGAAGGAAATCTTACCTTTTACGACAGCATGGATAGACTTGGAGATTATTATGCTAAGTGAAATAAGCCGGTCAGAGAAAAGACAAAAACCTGTGATCTCACTTATATGTGGAATCTAATGAACAAAATAAACTGACAAACAAAATAGAAGATAGAGGCATGGATACATGGAACAGATTGACAGCTGTCAGAAGGGAGGGTGGTTGGGGAACTGAATGAAGGAAGGTGAAGGGATTAGCCAAAAAGACATATCCATAACATATAAACATATCCATAACATACAACACAATAGTGTGGTGATAGCCAGAGGGAAAGAGGTTGGGGGATAGCTGGAGGTGGGCAAAGTGGAGGGAAATGGGGAGGGAAAGAGACTGCTTGAAGTGATGGGTGCACAGTACAGTGTGCAGATGATATTTTATTGGGTTGTATACTTGAAACCTGTATCTTTTGTGAACCAAGGGCACCCCAATAAATTCAATTAAAAAATAAAAAAGATCAAAACAAATGAACAATCCAAACCAAACAAAAATAGATTCATAAAAACAGAGAACAAACAGATAGTTGTTAGAAGGGAGAAGGTTGGAGAGGTGAGCAAAAAAGTGAAGAGGAATATAGTCAGTAATAATTTCATAACTTTGCACAGTGACAGGGTTACTAGACTTGGTGTGGTTTTTACATTGTTAGCTATATAAATGTTGAATCCTTTTGTTGTATACCTGAAACTAATATAGTTTAATAATAAAAAATGTAATAGCTACTTAAAGTGTAAACAGCATGTAAACCTAAACTATTGTTATTGTGTAGTAGTTAAAGCTTTGTCTTTGAAGTTATTGAATCAAGAATGCTTTTAGCTTTGAATAACAGAAGATCCTATTGCAGTGGGTTAAACAAATAGCCACCCTACCCTTTCACACCCATACACACAGAAGAGAACTAGATCTGGACAGCTGGTGGTGAAAGTTGAGTGGTTCACAGTTGACTATCTCTGAGATTCTCTTGATCTTTCTTTTTATTGTTGCATAGTGATGATTGCACCTGTAATTTCAAATAGCAAAGAGGTAACATTTGTTTCAGAAAGCAAAACTTAGCCTACAGAAAACTTTTGTCTAACATCTCAGTGACCAGAACTTTGTCATATATTTACCCTTGGCTGGAAGGTAGCTAGTAAGAATTGGGTTGAGAATGGAGGTTGCATCAGCCACCCAACAGTGTAAACCAGAGTCATATTGACTGATTTGTAATCTCAGGTCTTTCATTTGTTAGCTGCTTAACTGTAATCAACATACTTAGTCTTTCCAAGCCAGAATTTTTTCATCTGTGAAATGAGGATGAAGAGGATAATTATTGTTGTTATTATACTACCCCTGTTCCTCCTACTCCTACTAAAATGAGATAACACATTTAAAAATCTGAGCAGTGTGACAGACAAGAGAGTTACTGCTCACGTTAACTGTGATCATATCATCATCTTTCATGTCATCACCAGCTTCATTCTTTTATTTTATTGAGGTGAAGTTCACACAACATAAAATTAATCATTTTTAAGTGTACAATTCAATGGCATGTAGTATATTCACAGTGTTGTGCAACTCACTTCTTTCTATTCCCAAATATTTTCATCACCCCATAAGGAAATCTGGTATCAATTAAACACCCCTGAAGCCAGCTCCTGCCAACCACTAACTTGCTTTCTTAATAGACTTACCTGTGAATGTATTTTTAAAAGATTTTATTTATTTATTTATTTAGAGAGGGGAAGGGGGAAGAAAGAGAGGGAGAGAAACATCAAAATATGTGGTTGCCTCTTACACACACCCTACTGGGGACCTGGCCTGCAACCCAGGCGTGTGCCCTGACTGGGAATTGAATAGGAGACCCTTTGATTCACAGGCTGGCATTCAGTCCACTGAGCCACACCAGCCAGACCCTGTTCTAAATATTTTATGTAAATGAATCACACAATATATGACCTTTGTGTCTGACTTCTTTCACTTAGCATGTTTTTGAGGTGTAACCATATTGTAGAATATATCAGTACTCTTCCTTTTTATGGCTGAATAATAGAAATACTCCTTTTTTGTTCATCTCATCAGTTGATGGACATTTGGGTTGTTTGCACTTTAGGCCATTGTGAATAGTGTTGCTCTGAACATTCGTGCACAAATGTGTGTTTGAATACCCTTTTCACTTTTTATATACCTAGGTGTAGAACTCCTTGGCCATGTAATAATTTTATATTTAACTTTTTGAGGAACTGCCAAACTATGTTGTACATTGTCTGCATCATTTTACATTCCCACCAGCAATGTATGAGTTGCAGTTTCTTTGCATCTTCACCAATACTTACTATTTTGTTTTTTATATTATTATAGCCATCATAGTGGGTATGAAGTTTTGTTGCATTGTGGTTTTGATTTACATTTCCCTGATAAGTAGTGGTGAACATTTTTTCATGTGCCCATTTGCCATTTGTTTATCTTGGGTGAAAAGAGCTATTGGCAGTCCTTCGCCCATTTTTAAATTTGGTTGTTTTTTTTGTTGTTCAGCTATAAGAATTCTTTATATATTCTATCTAGACATTAAACCTTTAACAGATATATTATTTGCAAATATTTTTTCTATTCTGTAGGCTGTCTTTTCCCTTTCTTAATAGTGTCCTTTGATGTACAAAACTATTTTTTATGAAGTCCAATTTATTTTATATTTTGTTGCTTGTACTTTTGGTGTCATATCTAAGAATTCATTGTAAAATTTAAAGTAATGAAGGTTTACTCATATTTTTATCTAAGAGTTTCATGGTTATCGTTCTTACATTTAGGTCTTTGATCTTAAAGAATCAATTTTGTATTAAGTTGATTCATTTTGAGTTAATTTTTCTGTATGGAATGAAGTAGGACCACCGATTTCTTTCTGATCATCTTTATCACCTGTATTACCCACTAATATGAAGCATGAAGCCACTCCAACAAGCATCTATGAATCATTTTCCTGAATAGTTTTTTCCCCAAGTATTCAATCAGTGGTAGTTTCCTTCTTAATTTTTTATAATTGAAAACATTCTGCATAATGTAAAATGTGTGTCCTAATTAACTGATAAAATGATCCCATTTTTATCCTGTGTGTGATAAGAAAACATGAGCTACATTAGACATATTTATAGTAGGCCTGGGTGTTTTAATTTATAAAATTGGCATGGGTGATTCATAAATCTCTTGTTGGTTTCTAGATTTAAAATTCTATCACTGATTTTGAACATTGAATTTGCTATTATAGTTGATGATAATGTAATTGTTACTTTTGCATTCTAATCTTATTTTATTTGGTTATTTGTTGTCGGTTATCTTTTATTGAATGTCATTCCTTGATTATAAGTTATCTCACCAATCCTTTTTTCCTCCTTCACCTATAGTATTCACAATGATGTATTGTCCTGGGAAAAACTGGTAGTGTTGTGGTAGTCTATATAAACCTGTTGCATACTATTCTTTTTTTTTTAAAGGTTTAATTTATTTATTTTTAGAGAGGGAAGGGGGAGAGAGAGAGAGACAGAGAGAGACAGAGAGAGACAGAGAGAGAGACAGAGAGAGAGACAGAGAGAGACAGACAGACATCAATGTGTAGTTGCCGGGGGCCATGGCCTGCAACCTAGGCATGTGCCCTGACTGGGAATCAAACCGGCGACACTTTGGTTTGCAGCCCGCGCTCAATCCACTGAGCTGCGCCAGCCAGGGCTGCATACTATTCTTTAGAATAAAAAATAATCTAGTGCAGGATAAACAGAATAGACCTTATATGTACTTTTGTTATCTTGTCTAAAATTTTAACTTCTAAGTTTGTTTCTTTGCTTTATTTATTTTTTTTAGATTTTACTTATTTATTTTTAGAGAAAGGGAGAGAGAAAGAGATAGAGAAACATCAACGTGTGGTTGCCTCTCATACACCCCCTACTGGGGACCTGGCCTGCAACCCAGGCATATACCCTGACTGGGAATTGAACCGGCAACCCTTTGGTTCTCAGGCTAGCATTCAGTCAGCCAGGGTTAAACTTGTCTCTTTGCTTTAAATAGAGGAGAGTGTAATTTGTTCATTCCTTTTTTTAGTACTTGGTTCTGAAGCTTGAAAGGCCTGCTATAGTCCAGAATATAACATTTGGAAAGTATGAGAAAACTCACGTCTGTAATTTGAAAAAATTTAAAGTCTTTGGCGGAATGAATGAAGAAAACATGACAGAGCTATTATCCAGGTGAGTTATGATTATGTGGTAGAAAGAATTGTCTTCTAAACAAGCCACAGTCTTAGTTTAGTCTCTTTGTAGCTAAATCTTTATGGTTTGATTTTTTTTTTCCCCAAGGAGAAAAGAATATTTCCACTGTTCTATTTCTAGTGACTTATTTTAATATTGTGGCTTGAGTTAGCTTTTTTTTAAACCACTAGATACTAGTTAATATTGTTACCAAGCAAAAGAGGATAAACATTTTTGTTTTATTTTTACTTGTGATCTTTTAGTCTTATTTTTGGATTTTAATGACTTCAGAAATACTTCCAGCTTTAATGAAATTTTTGTTATAAAAATATGGATTCTAAAACATTAAGATTGGTTGCCCTAATCCAGAGTAATATGCTGGGAGTTTACTATAGATTGGAGACTAAAAAGAGAAAAAGTATGTTAATGCACCTAACATAGTGCCTACCACTTGGAAGGAGCTCATTAAAATTGAGGGAATTTCAGGGGAAAAGGGGAAGGGTTTATAGGAACAAGTATAAAGGACACATGGACAAAAACTGGGGGGGGGGTAGAAATGGGAGGGAGGTGGGGAGGGTTGGGGGGATGGGCTGGGATGGGAGTAAAAGACAGAAAACTGAACTTGAACAACAATTAAAATAAAGATTTCAAACACACACACACACACACACACAATCAAGTTTTAACAACATAGGCCACCAGGAATGAAAGGGTTAATTTACCCATTAGTTAATGAAAAATCAAATAGCCAGTGGAATGGACAAATAATGCTATGAGGTTTTAGAATACATTTGTGACATGGCATGTCTCTTTGGCAGAGTACTCTATATAGGTAAATATTACATTTTTACTATATTTGATTTAAGTCATGAAAGTATTTCAGGACCTCAGGCAACCTGAAGATAAGCGATTCCCATAAATACTTGTGTCAACCTTAGTTAAGTGGAGAGATAATATGAACTTATTTTTATTTAGGGTAAAGTATATGCTGTTAAACCAATAGAGTAAGGTCATCTTTGAAAATTTGTTGAGCTATAAAAGGAACTAAATAACAGAACTAAATAACAGAATTAAATAACTTAATTCTTCAACATTCTAATATTTGGCCTTGTTTAAGTTGTAAGATAGGAATGTGAATTTTTAAAAAAATTTTCTTCTTCCTGCTTGAGTATTTTATATTCAATTATACATTAAGAATACTAAGTCATCACACATTTCCATTTTTTAATTGGAAGACAGTAATGCATTTGATGGGAGTGTACAAGTTTTGACTTATATTCTCATGTTCAGCTACTACTTTGGTCATATATTTTTAGCATTGGTTTAATCTTAAAATCTGAGTAATCTGAGTTTTAGTGCATTTACTAAATTATGAAATCAGATTTGATTATCTTTTTTTTTTTACAGTGGCTTAAAGAATGATTATAACAAAGAAACATTCACCTTGAAGCATAAAATTGATGAACAAATGTTCCCTTGTCGATTCATTAAAATAGGTAAGGATTGTAGTATTCTGAAATAGATATAAATTCTTTATACCATCAGTCAGCAAAGTGCAGCCCGGCTGAATCCTGCAGTCCCCCTGTTTTTTTTGTTTTTTTTTCATTAAAATGTTATGGGAATACTGGCACAGGTTGTTCTCATAATGTTAGTTCTGCTTTTGCATTACAATGGTAAAGTTCAGTAGTTTCAAGAGACTGCATAGTACACAAAGCCCAAAGTATTTACTATTTTGACCTTTACAGAAAAAGTTTTCTGACCCCTGCTTTATAAATCTATAATTGACAGTTAATTCAATGGAATATTTTCCAAATATTTTCTCATTTTAAAGTTTATTAGGAGATTTTATGAGATACAGTTATTCAGTTGCCTTGATCATTTTATTGGTTTGTCAATTTTTATAAAGCATGTGAAAATCAAATACTGATTAATTTCTTAAGGCAGTATATTATATTTTCCAGTCTGTTTTTATGTTTCATTGTTTTAATGAAATGTTGCTCAAACACATAAAACTAATTTCATGACCCTAAGTAATAAGTTGCAAGGTAATGTTTGAAAAATACTACCTAACAAAAAAAAAAGAAAAAATACTTCCTAAGGCATATATTTATTTACCAAGTGTTTCAGCTTGAGAAAGTATTTGTAATGCCTCCTCAAAGTTAGTATTTGTATGGTAATTTTGTTTTCTTTTAAGATTTATTATTTAGAAGGTAGAAAAGTTAAGGACTTGAATCTTTTAATTACCATCTGTATCTCATACCTCTAAAAATATGTTAAAGTTGGGATTAAAGTAAATCAGATCCCTCAGAGAATAATAACAAAAGCCAGAATCCCATGTTTTGATTGAGGAGAAAAATTCCTCTTTTGGAATAAGCAGTATACTTCATAGTCATTGTTTGCTATTTTATCAAGAATTGGCCTGTTTTATTTCATTAAATCAAATAGTTCTGTCAGGCAAAAAGAATATCTGAAGTCTTAATAAAGATTACTTATAAAGAGAAAACTTTAGGAGAGTTGGGCTGCCCAGTATGTTAGGGGTTTTTTTTTTGGTAACTATAGTTTCTATTGTTATATTAAATAATAATCTGCGTCCTTTTTTCCTGTGAGAATTTATGAACATGCAGTTGTATTGAATAAATTCAACTCTTGGTTGTTTCTTCTTTGGTACTAATGAGTAATTCTTTTCTGAGCATGCAGATCACCCATTCCTTACAGACTCTTGCATAGCTTTAACAATTCCATGATCTTGTATTTCAAATGTACAAGCAGTGAAAATATGTTTTCATGTAATACTTTTAGATTTTAAGTACTTTTCTTGGTGCTTTTTGTACCTTTCCAGTGGTCATTCGTTTTTGTTTATTTTTTGTTTTTGAAGGAAAGCATCTACTGCTTTAGTAGTTCTTAATCCTTTTGTATTATTCATTAGAAGAAGAATTAGTAAAAACCTGTTTCACATAGTTGCATAGTTTTCTTAAAATTTTATAAGGCAACAGAGGTCTCTTATGGAGCTATTAGATAGTCATCTGCCTAAAAGAAAGAATTTGGACCTTTTTCCAGCCTTATCTGTTACCCTTTTTGATGATAGGGCATAATGATGTTACTTTACCTTGGTGGGTTTGTTTTATGGTATTCAGGCAAAATGTTAATTGGAGCTTTCCAAATAATTGTAGACACTTATTAACTCAGTTGATATTTAGGATGTTAATATTTAGACAACTTCATATTTCTCACTTTTCTATTAAAAGATGTTAGTGGTACCAAAGTGTCCCAGGTTCGATTCCCAGCCAGGGTACATGCCTGGGTTGCAGGCCATAACCCCCAGCAACCGCACATTGATGTTTCTCTCTCTCTCTCTCTCTCTCTCTCTCTCTCTCTCTCTCTCTCTCCCTCCCCTTCCCTCTCTAAAAATAAATAAATAAAATATTTAAAAAAAAGATGTTAGTGGTGGTTTGCAGTATCTTTGCTTTTCAACCTTTTCCCAACATTCTCTTGATAAGTATTTTTCTTACAATAATATAAGGAAGAGATGAAACTAAAAGCTGCATGTTAGGTTAGCTGTATTTTTAGTTTACCACTCTGTTTTTGTTTTAATCCTCACCTAAGGGTATGCTCACTGATTTTAGAAAGAGGAATGGAGGAAGAGAGAGAAGGGAGGAAACATCAATCAATCCCTTGCCTTTCATATGCATCCCCACTGGTGACCAAACCCGCAACCTAGGCACATGCCCTGACCAGGAGTCAAACCTGTGACCTTTCAGTTTTTAGATGATGCTCCAGCCAACCGAACTACACCAGCCAGAGCTTGTGCTGTGTATTCTTTAATTGAGTGATGTGTAACTCTCTTTTGGTGGTGATTTATCACAGACATTTGTTTTGTTAGATTTATACTTAAGGGAAAAATGTGTTTGAATACTTCATATTTGTGTTCTACAGTGATACGTTTGAAATATTTTGCTTATTTAAAAAGTTTATTCTTAACAAAATTTCTGAATATAGTCAGCCTTTAATTATTCATGGTAACAGAGGAGAATGGAAAGAAGCAAGACTAATCCAGTGGCAGATAATCTCCAGATCATGCACTGACAGTTAATTATGATAATTTTTCTAATGAACAAACGAAACTAGCAAAGTGGAGACAGACTTATGGATACAGAGAACAGACTGACAGCTGTCAGAGAGGAGAGGGTTGAGGGCTGAGTGAGAAGGGTGAAGGGATTAAGCAAAGAAAAAAAGAAAGCCTTACAAACACAGACAATAGTATGGTTATAGCCAGAGGGCAGGGGGATGGGGGCAGGTAGAAGAGGGTAAAAGGGGGATAAATGGTGATTAAAGGAAATTTGACTTGGGTTGGTGAATATGCAATACAGATGATGTGTTATAGAATTGTATGCCTGAAACCTATATAATTTTATTAACCAATGTCACCCCAATATATTCAATTAAAAATAATAAATGTGATGATTTTCATTGGTAAGGTATATAGATTATTCATTCAACTTGGCTTAAACCAAATTTAAGTTTTTAAAAGTAATTTAAACTCATATTTCTGAAAAAAATATTTCATTTTGCATGTCTTTTTATGCATTTTTGTACTTGTATTCATATAGCTCTTGTTTACATGATTTCTTAAGTGTAGTATTTTGGGTACTCTAGAAGAAAATATGCACAAATGGAATTTGAATCATGTCAGCATTTATTATTTAGAGCTTATGTTTTTATTGTTTTTGATAGCGTGTAAATACTTTCACATGTGATATCTCATTTGAACATTATACTGGCAGATAAAATCTTTCCTTTTTTGATTGAAGATATTAGGGATGGATCAAAGACATAGTATTTGGTATATGCTTGCATATGTGTGTGTATTGTTTTAAAGTAATAATACTAGATATCATTTATGAAGCATTTGCCAAACACTGTGTGAGATAGGCATTATTGCACTCACTTTACAGAGGAGGAAACTGAAGTTTAGAGGTTAAGTGGCTGGAACAAAACCTTACAGATAGTAAAATGTAGAGATGGGATACAAACTTAAGTCTACTTCCAGAGATTGAGTTGCCTCACTATGTGATATATGTAAGTTTTCTTTCCTCAAGTAGATTGTGAAATCTTTTGGGATAGTAACCCTATCTTGTTTCCTCAAATTTCAGAAATACTAAGTATATATCTTTTTGAGTTTATTGTGTAGGCATTTAGAGCAATTAATCAATGTTTTCATGAACTTGATGGAACGTTGCAACTTTATGTTCTCTAACCTCTAATACATTCAGCATTTCTTCCAGTTATGAATATAGGCAATAATTCATAGTAGTGTTAACAATACTTGTGATTGTCACAGAAGTTACAAATATTTCCCATCACTTCATAGTGTGGCAAATATGGTAAATTTGAAATCAGGGTAATTATTAGACCTGCCTCTAGATCTTGTTATCTAATGTATTAGTAAAAAAGCATATGTATTTCTATATTGTAATGTTGTTTCTTTATAGTTTTTATAACTATACTTCAGTACAGTCGGTTTACTCTGTAATCCTGTGTATTTTGCTTTATGCTTTTAAATCTGAAGGGGTTGAGTCACAGGGTTCACCAAACAGCTATAGGGGATTCATGGCACAAAAAAGGCAAAGAACTCATACTGGAGTGATGTCTTTGACAGGATTTAGTGTGGAAGTTGAGACCTGGCCTTAGGAAGACGCTTGGTTTCAGTAAAATCTGTAACTAAAAGAAAAATTTAGTATAAAGAAGAGAGTTATTAATTGGGAAACCAGTTTGAGAGAGCAAGATAAAAAATTGGAAGGAAAACCCTCCTGAGTAGGAGATTAGATCAGATGAGAGGAGACAGAGTGGAATGGTGGAATGGGATGAGGGTATTGGTTACAAATGACTAGAAGGATTTGTACCCTGGTTCATAGCCAAGTTAACAGCTGTGTGAGGGAAATTAGCAAGGTGAGGTGGGGGCAAAGAAGGTACTTGGGAGAACTCTTAGGAAGATTATGGGGGGAGTCCTGGTTTTTGGTATACAGGATTACTTGGATCTGTAGATTTTTTGTTTTTTTGTGGTCTAGATGGTTGTGGTTGTTTTAGGGAGAAGCTTCAGCTTTGGCTGGATTCAGCCTGCGGTCTGGATTCTCAGGAGTGTTTAGAAGGCTAAGATGAGTACTAAGTCTGGGGAGGTTCCCTGATGAGGGCTCTTCTTGTGAACATGTGCAAAGGTAACATTTTAAAAGTGTACTAGTAAAAGGAAAATTAACATAGTAATAATAGCTAATAATAATAGTAGCAGTGCCTGGACTAGTGTGGTGCAGTGGGTTGGGCATCATCCTGCAAACAGAAAGGTAGCCTGTTTGATTCCTGGTCAGGGTTGCGGGCCAGGTCCCTAGCTGGGGATATGTGAGAGGCAACCCATTGACATTTCTCTTACACATTGATGTTGCTCTCCCTCCCTTTCCCACTCTTTAAAAAATAAAGAAAATCTTTTTAAAAATAGCAGGAGTAGCTAGTTTTCACTGAGTACCTACTATGTGCCAGTTACTGTGCTAAGTGCTTTGTGTGCTAATTGCATTAATTCTGTAGTAGAATAGATACTCATGCAGAATGTTAATCTTGAATTTTCAGGGTCTTCCAGAGTGAGACCTTAAAATTGTTAGCATCTTTTAATAGCTGTTTTAGACATCTAGACAGGAGTTTCCCAAGTGATACCCCTAAAGCACATTGAATGTGCCACAGATGTGTTTCACTGTGGAGATATCGATCCCCCCTCATTCCTCGAGTAGCAGGAGCCTGCAACCTAGTACCCTTCTGTGCCATAAAAATATTATCATTTTCTATACGTGAAAAAGGGTGAGAAGCACTGATTTTGATCATATATGTGTCTGACTGTGTCATGTAGAAAACTGGCAGTGGGGTCCTAGGATATAAATTCTTGGCCTTGAGAATGTGTATTAGGGGTTTCTAATATTTTTAGTTGAGGTGAGAGCAAAGGCATTGTTTATTGGGGAACAAAGTATATGTGCTTGGAGCTCCAGTTCACATTTAAATTTCTGACATATAATACATAATATGTCTAATATTCATTATTAGTATTGCTAATGGTACCATAATTTAAAAATTTTTAATATACTTACTGATTTTTGAGAGAGAGGGAGAGAGAGAAATGTCACTGTGAGAAAGAAACATGGATAGGTTGCCTGCTGTATGTGGTAGACCAAGGATCTACCCCACAACCTCTGTTACGTGCCCTGACCAAGAACTGAACCCTCAACCCTTCTGTTACAGGACAGCGCTCTAACCAACTGAGCCACACCAGCCAGGGCTTAATTTATTTTTTAATTGAATTTATTCAGGTGACATTGGTTAATAAAATTATATAGATTTTAGGTATACAGTTCTACAATACATGATCTATATATGGTATTGTGTGTTTACCACACCAAGACAAGTTTCCCTCCATCACCATTTAACCCTCTTGTACCTCCCCCGACTTTGTCCACTTTCTGGAACTGTATATTCTTCATTTGCCTGTAATATATGATGTGCTTCTGAGATGACTTCCTTATTAACCTCCCTCCCAACAATGTTCTTTGAAAGGTGATAAAAATTAGAATGAATTTTATTTTAGAAATCTTTCTAGTGGGCCATTAGGTATATAGGAGAAATATCACTAAAACATAATTGCTTGAAGAGTTTAATAAATGAGCATTTTACTTGAATAGATGTAATAGGAAGATTTTTTTTTTCCTTCTGGTTTTTCTGAACTTGGACCTTGAACTTGAGGATGGATTTCAGATCTGTAACATTAGATGTCTGATTATACTTACAAACTATCTTCTTGGGGCTTTGGGTTTAGAGTCCTATTTTATTCTGACTATTATACTACTATTTGATGGTTATTACTGTAATATAGTTAGAAAAACTTTTTAAATGGTACTGCTATATAAAGAAATGAATACCACAACAATAATTTAGTATTTGTCACTATAAAACTTTTTGAAATTTTTATTGTTTGCCTATATAAACTGATAGTCATATTAAACATCCTAATGACTGGTTGCTACTGACTGTGTCAGTCTTCCTTTAGATGACAATATGGGAAAGTATCTGACTAGTATATCTTAGCTCATCAAGTCTGATATTGCTAAAAAAGAGTAGTGGGCTTGGAAATTAATAGCCTCAATGTCAGATATAGTGGACATTCTGTTTTGGTTCTTAATCAAAATTTGACAAGTGGAAGTTTCTTAAAGGTAGTAGCATTATTCACTCTGAACCATATCAGTGTTACACTAAACTCCATTGGCCTGTCTTGCACTTTGAATTAATATTTTATCCATTCGTGGTTTTGTGACACCATTCTTTGGTCATTTAGAAAATATGATTCACTGAGTTATATAGATCTTTTACATGTTAAAACATTTAATTGCATAATATTGTTTTAAACCACACTCATTAATATCACCACCAATCTTGTCAGAAAAGTTTTAAGTATTGGCAAGTTAAGCTCGCAGTGGTGATACCAGTTTTCCAACATTCTAATTTTCCCTTGAGAGCTTAAATTTTATACTCAGCAACAAGTACTGTCAGTTATTTTCTTTGGAATAACAGGTAAATATCTGGCAAATACTCAAACCTAAATAATCTAAATAATCATAAATGGTCTTTCCAGGAAAAGTGGTATCTTAGAGGTTGAGGAACAGGAGATAAATGGTTATTTCAACTTACAACTCTAACAACTGTGCAGGTCATTTTCCTTGCAGTAACCATCATACTTTGGAACACAGCAAAAATGCTTTATGTATACTTCCCATTGTGTAGCACAGGATATTAAAAAGATGTGTTCTTAATGATAGGGATTTCTTAAAATTTCTTTTTACTGCATCATCACAGACATTCTTAAATGAATTGTCACTTTTTTAAATCTGCAAGTGTGTGATGGTGAGGAATACATCCAGTGTGTATTGTATTAAAGAATACTACTAGACTTTCATGCTACCATTGTACTTTTCATGGCATTACCAAGGTGCCAGCAGTACTCATCATTGTCTTTGTACCATGAGTGCAAATGTCAGCACACACACATGCACACACACTCTGATAAAATTTTAGTCTTATTATGAAAAATAGTTTGGACTACATGGAAGTATTGTTGGGATTGCCAGGAGCCTCATGGATCACCTCTTTAAAACCTCTGCTCTGTTCCGTCATTACTGATCATCTATGATAAATTTTTCTAAATTCTTAAGAGATTTTTATGATACACTTTTCTCCAATGGTTTAGGTTTCTTTCCTTCACTAATATCAAACTTAAAATTACTGTTTTTTAATATGTTTATTTTCTTACCATTTTTGTTTAAGGTATTCTTGTATTTCAGATTAGCTTGTTCAATTACATATCAAGAAAAAATGGGTATATACCATTGGGATTTTGATTGAGATTACATTAAATTTATGATTAATTTGAAGGGAACTGACATGTTTACAACATTGCATTTTCCCATCTAGGAACATAGTATGTCTTTCTATTCATTTTTTAAGTAAAATGTTTTTATGTTTTTATGTTTTCTTAAATAGGTCTTGCATATTTTAAAGTTTATTCTGAGATATTTTAAGTTGTCTTTGCTGTTATGAAGGGGACTTTTTGAATTATAGTTCCAAGTGGGCTGTTATAGGTGTAGGGAATATTTATTTGCATGTTTACTTTGCATACACACTAATAAAAACTTTTCAGTTGAATCTCTTGAAGTTTTTTAGGTGACTATTATCTTCAAATGATATTTTTTCTTAATTTATAAGTTTTTCCTTATTGCACTGGCCAAGATCTCCCATATAGTATTGAATAGTAGAGCTTTTGGGCCTCTTTGTTTTGTCCCTGACCTGAATGGCAATACTTAATGTTTCTCCATTAGGCTTAATTTTTGAGGTTTTTAATACTTAAAAAATAATCTAGGTAAGGAAGTTTTCTTTTGCCTTTTATTTAAGAGGCTTTATTTTAATGACTGGGAAGTAAATTTTATTTGTTTACTCTTAGCACCATTTTAGGTAATCACATTTGCTTCTCTTTTACTTTGCTAATATTGTGAATTATATTGATATAGCTCCTACTATTTAACCATCCTTCCATTCCTAGAATGAACTCTGTTTGGTTTCTATGAAAACCTGGTATCTTTTGTAACTTAAAAAATAAATTGAATATATATTCATAGCTGAGATTAGCCTTAAGTCCCTTTTCTTCTGGTTTTGTTTTCAGGATTATTCCACTTGGAGAACTTTTCCTTCCCTTTCTTATATAGTTTAAATTATATCATAATTATTTCTTTTTGCGGGTTTGCTAGAATTTGCCTGTTGAATCATCTAGCCCTGGCCCTGTTTTGGGGGGATATGTAAATGACCACTTTGACTTTATCTTACTATGTTTTTATAATTAAAGAAACCTCATGATGGTGATGATGTTTCTTTTTGCTAATGTAGTCCTAGCACTTAATAGTATAGTGCTAGTCATATAGAAACTGTTCAGAAAATCTGTTAACTGAATCCTAATAGGCTTGAATAGTGATTTTACTTTGCTAAAGTTTTATTTGAACTATGTTAATTTTTTTCTTTTTTCTTCCTTCTTTTTTCTATTTTTTTTCTCTTTTTGTTTTTCTTCTCAAAGTTCCACTCTTATCCTGGGGACCCAGCTTTAACTTTAGCATCTGGTATGTTGAACTTAGTGGCATTGATGATCCCGATGTAGTACAACCTTGTCTCAACTGGTATAGCAAGGTAGGACTGTATTTTAAAATCCTCATATTACGTTTCTAATGCCTGTAAAGAGAGATTTGTGTCAATCTCTTGTGTTTATTGAGAATAATTAAAAATTTTGAGAATAGTGGTAATTATTATGATTAATCAACTAACTTTATATATTTATTGCCAGCTTCTAAGCAATCTTTATAACTTATGAAATCACTACCTCTCTGTGAGATAGGTATAGTTACTATCCATATTTTATAGATGATGAAATGGAACACTGAGAGGTTAAGTATTTTGCCTAAAGTCATAGTGTTATAAAGTGTTCGAGCCAGTATATAGGCTCAGGTAGTCTGGCTCCAGAGTCTGCTATTATATTATTATACCCCTGTGACTCTGAATTTTGTGACTGAAATAATTAAACACAGTCTTTATTGGGGTAGTTTTGGTTTTAAATTGCTTTTATATCATATGCCTTAATTATATTTGCATTGAGTAAAATAGAAATTTTTCCTTTTCCTTTTAAAGAATGTGAAATAGTTTATATAAATATTATGTTTTTGTGTGTACATGAAAAATAAAAATTATATTTAACAATTTTATTCATAGGGTATTTTATACAGTAGATACATCCTGAGAAATGGTGAGTTTAAATTATTGAGAAATAGGCCTTCTGGGTGTTTTGAATAACTTTTTGTTTCATTTTTGTTTTTAATGTATATTTATTTGATTTTTAGCTAATTTGGGAAGAGGGGTCTTTCTTGTTGATGAGGTGATATGAAGCTTTAGTCTAATCACTAAAGCTTTATTTTTTTTGTTATTTTTATTTGCAAGTAAACTGATTGACTCATAGGAGATTGGGAAACAGGATTTTGTATCAAATATCAGCTCTTTTTTGGTCAGTTTAATTGAGGAACTTTTTAACTATTTTTGGCATTTGATTATATTCACTTTAACAAAGAAGTTGACTTTTAGTATTTTCTATATTTTTCATATGTTTTTGGATTTCTTGTAATAATACAAATTCTTTCAAGATAAAGCCAGTATTTTTAAACATTAAAAATCATCTTTACTGTCCTGACTAGTGTGGCTTAGTTGGTTGAGCATTGTCCTGCAAAGCAAAAGGTTGCCAGTTTGAATCTTGGTCAGGCAGGGCACATGCCTGGGTTGTTGACCCAGTCCCCAGCTGGGGCGCGTGCGAGAGGCAGTCAGTCAATATTTCTCTCTGTCTTTCTCCTTTCCTTTCCTTTCTTTCTCCTCTCTCTAAAAATAAATAAATAAAAAATTTTGAATCATCTTTATATTATAATTCACTTAATAGGTGGCATATACTTAAAATCCTCTAAAGATGGTCTTTTAAATTAAAAAATAGCTCCTCTGATAGCTGACCAAAATTTTTTCTGTAGCCTATGATGTGTGTGTTTTTTTTAATATACTCACACAAATCTCTTGATATTGCATGAAGTTGCAAATTTCACCTCCTTCCTCAACACAGCAGAGAGATTATATTTATAGAGAACTTAAAATTGTTCAGCCACATTCACTTTTCAAGTTCTTTGGGTTTACTGTGAAACTCTAGAAATTAAAATTAAAGCCTTCACCCTCTTTTGAGATTCAGTCTTATTTTGAAGCATTAAAATTCTGTTATTTCATAAATCCTCTCCTACTATGTATCTATATACCACCTGATAGAAAATTTAAAATGGGGTGTGATTCAGACTCCTAAAGCCAACACAACAAAAAGTTACTACTGTTTAATATGGTTTTAGGTAGTTATTTATAGTAAATCTTTATTTACAGGCCAACGGTAAGAAACTAATAACATAAAATTAGTTTGGACATAGAATCATTCTTTTGTTATTTGATGAGGGAGAGCATTGGTTAACTACAGTGCTTAGGAATAGTGTTTTGATAACTTTTAATTAATTAAAATATCAGCCAACTGATTTTTTCTCATAAATCTTCCTAAATGTAGCATCTTATTTTCCTGCCTAATTAAAAGTTATTGCTTACAAGTAACTCATATTTTTGCTTGGTTTTTGTGCATTGCTTCTGTGTCATTAGTTAGTTCTTATTTAAAAAATCTGGAAATCTCAAAACATATTCTTGAACTTAACTGTTTTTTAAAAAAATTCTTTATAAGCTTATATATTTTTGACATTCATACTTTTAGGGGAAAGATTAAATAAACATTTCTCTTTTTGGATTCTAGTTAATTGAGATTTTTACTTATTGCTGTTAAATAGATGAGGTAGCCCAGAGTTAGAAAAAACTGAAATTTAAACAGTCTCTTTCTGATTATTTTGAATCACAAAACCTGTTTGTGAATTTAAACATAAATATTTGATAATATTTGTCATTCAAGTAACAATACTAAGAACCAAGAACAAAAAGCATAATATAATTTATGTGTATTATTTAATGGTTTCTGTGCTTTTAGTACCAGCATTGTATTGTGCTTAGTAAAAGCTATAGAAATTACCATTTTTATAATCTTAAGTGGGCTTTGATAGTTTTTCTGCTTTTCTTGAAAATTCAGCCTCTAGAATTAAGTCTGGTTTCATTTTTTTATATCTTTCATCTTCATGAAATATATACCTGTATATGTGTGTGTGTGTGTGTCTATCTGTATACCTGTATCTTGTTCCTACCTTTCTGTTATATACTTTGTGACCTGTGGCAGGTTATTACAATTAACTGTCAGTTTTGCTATTTAAAAGTGGAAATAATAATGGTACTAATGAATAGGGTTAACACAATGCTTCACACATAATAAGTGCTCACTTTAAATTAGTTGTCACTTACTTCCTATCATAGTAACTAAGCAAATCTCTTCTTTTCATATTTTCTCTTGTGTTCCAGTAGTACCGTGAACAGGAAGCCATTCGCCTTTGCCTAAAACACTTTAGACAACACAACTATACAGAAGCCTTTGAATCACTGCAAAAGAAAACCAAGATTGCCTTGGAACATCCTATGTTAACAGATCTTCATGATAAGCTGGTGTTGAAGGGTGATTTTGATGCTTGTGAAGAGCTGATTGAAAAAGCTGTAAATGGTATGTTATAAATATTACACTTAGTTGAAAATTGCTGCTTTATAGAAAGGTGTCCTTTAAAAAAAACTTTTCCACAGTGAGTTTCATGGTGACAAAGAACAGAATAGGTGCTTCTGGTATAATAAAAAAATAAATATTTGGTCTTTATTCAGTTCCTGGCACCTAACTTCTAAAACCATTGGAATCTGTGGAAGGGTAAGAGTGTCTTGTATGCTGAGATGGGTGGGTGGCTGGAGTTGCTAAATAGCTTCAGATCTCCAGAAAGACCAAACCATGTGATTAGAGGATGGGAAGTTTCAGTAGCATGGCACCCCCCACCCTCAACTCTGAGGAGAAGAGAGGGATCAGAGATTGAGTTTAGTCACCAGTGGCCAATGTTTTAATCAATCATGTCTATGTAATGGAGCCTCCAAAAAAAAATAAAGGACCAAAACAATGGGGTTCAAAGAGCTTTCAGTTTGCAGACACATCAGGGTGCTGGGAGAGTGGTATGCCTAGAGAGGGCATGGAAGCTGTAAACACACCTGTCCCCAGTACTTTGTCCCATGCTATTTTTCCATTTGGCTCTTCCTGAGTTGTATCCTTTATAATTATCCAGTAATAGTAAGTAGAGCACTTTTCCTGAATTCTGTGATCACTTTGAGTTATTGAACATTGAAGGGAGTCGTGTGAAGCCTTGATTTGTAGCCACTATGTCACAAGTATGGTGGCCCAGAACTTGTGCTTGGCATCTGAAGTGGGGATTGATTGTTTTGTGGAACTAGACTGCATCTTTTGACTTGTGGAATCTCATGCTTACTCCAGGTAGATAATGTTAGCATTAAATTGAATTGTTGGATATCCAGTTGTCCTTAGAGAGTTGCTATAAGAAAAAACCGCACAGATTTGATGTTAGATGCATTGTGAGTAAAAGCAGGTTAATGCTCAATATAAAATTTTTGGAATAAAATATGGTGAACATTTTTATAGAAAGAAACAAAGAATAATAGACTTTCTCAGTACTTTCTGTATTTTAATCTTATCACTGTTATCCAGTATTATTAGTTACTCACTTATCAGGTATTGGTTGAATTTTACAATGGAAGAAAACAGAACTAGTACTGCCTTCTTTATAAATTTAAAGTCAAAATAAGTTGTTTCTAACTCCCATGAGTTACAACAGCAAACCTTCCTCTCAGCCTTCTATCTCGTTACTGCTTATTTAATTGGTGATGATACTTGCAAATAAGTGATTATGTGTGAAACAATATACTTCGGAATATAGACAAAGAGAATGTATATGATTATCCTTCCCAAACCATTGAACTGCAGACAGTAAAAGTATACATGTATGTATGTATGTATGTATGCATTACAAAGAATGAATTTTATAATTTTTTAATCTTACAGAATGAGAAAGGCACAGTAATTTTGTGGGGTTTTTGTTTTGTTTCAAATCTTCATCTTTAAGGCATGTAATATTTTGTTAAGGTGAAGTAAGCAACAAGACAACAAAAACCATGAACAGTTTATGTAATTATTAGGCCAAAAACATATGTTAAAACTGTTTGAACTGTACTCATACTCATTTAAGAAAATTTCTTAAAATCATGTCCAACTTTGACACTACAGAGGTTTAACTTCTCTAGGAAGAAACCAAGTTAGATTGGTAATAACTGTTCTTGAGACTTAGAGCCAAGTTATATTTTTTTGACTCCTCAACTGGCTTGCAACAGTGTTTAGTTAATAAACATTCCTTCCAGGGTTGTTCACTTTGCTGCTGACTTCACTGATGATAATTTGTTGGACAAATAAGGAAGTAAACACTGCCGAGTTTTTTGGCTTCTGTTCCATTAAAAACATAGCAGAGAAAGTCAAGGATTTCCTGCCTGCTAAATAGGAAAATCTAGGGAATCAAAAGCGTCTTCCCTCAAGCATCTTATCACGGATGGAATAAAAATTACTTCTAGTATATGTATGTATTACTACACTCTTCAAGTATGGTCTGTATTTTAATTAAGTATCTCTAATTAGCTTCTTATTTGCTTGGAACCATCTCTACATTCCATTTATATAATTCATTAGAGGGGATTCTGGAACCAATCATTGCTGCTTCCCCTCTGACAATGCCAGAGAAAAAAGGTAGAACCCACTGATGATGGGCAACAGTTATCACCTAGGAATAGGAAATTGCTTTATTTCCTACTGAAATAAAAACCTACTTTTGTGAGATAAAGGTGGATTAAAATTTAATTAATAACATTCCAACAGGCTCACTAGTCCAAGTGTTTCCTAAAGTTCAAGTTGAGCTCTTTATCTCCTTTCCTCTTTCCTTTTGTACCTCCTTTACCCTTCCTCCCCTCCTTCCTTCTTCCCCTCCTCTTCTGTTTTTTCTCTCTTTTATCTGTCCTTTCTTACCCTTTGCTTTGTGCAGTGGTTGTTAATCATATGGCAGGCCTACCTCTCTCTCCTTAAAAGTTTTTTAAGTGATATCTCAAATCATATTAGAGTTACCTTTGTGGCATGGTTTCTAACTGCGAATTTAGTATTGTTAATAGCTGTAGGACTATTTATAGTCTATATTTCTTTTTGAGTGAGCATTGGTAGTTTGTGCCTATTGAGGAGTACGCTTATTTTACCTATTAGTGAATTTATTGGCATAAAGTTGTTCATAATTTATCCTCTTAATATCTTTATGCCATCTCTTATTGATATTGGTAATTTTTATCTTTTTTTTTTCCTTAGCAGTCTGGCTAGAAAACAATTTTATTTTAAGAAAACAGCTCCTGGTTTCTTTGTTTTGTGTTGCCTTTTCTCCCTCTCTCTCTGATTTTTCTGTTTCTTTCTATTTCATTAATTTCTTCCTTTGTCTTTATTATTTCTTTTCTTCTATATGCTTTGGTTTTAATTTGCGCTTTTTCAGTTTCATAAAATGAAAGCAGCGGCTGTTGACTTGAGATCCTTTTTTAATGTAGGCATTTGATGCCAGGAGTTTCCCTCCTGGGAAGCACTGTATTAATTCTGTATCACAAATTCTGCTCTGCTATGTTTTTGTTTTTGTTCAATTTAAAATACATATGTAGCATGACTTATTTTTCTTTCCAACCCTTATGACTTTTTTCCTCTTATGTTTAGTCTTTCAGACAGGATACTTAATACAAGGTTGAGATGACATGATAGTGATAATGATAGTGGATTTCCTTGTGTATCATGATCTCAAAAAAAATGCTTTCAACACTCCGTTGTTAAATATGATGTTTGATCTATGATATTTGGACATCCTGTATCACATTCCTAGATTACTAAGACTTTATAAATAGCTAGTGAATTTTACCACTTTTTCTGTTTTTTGTGTTATGATTTTTTCTTTATTAATATGTGAAATCAGTGATTGATTTGCTAATGTTAAATCTCAGATTACTTAACTTTGTCTTATATTTTTCACTATATTTTGGATATAGATTGACTAATGTTTTGTTAGAAGTCTTCCAGCTATTGTCATTATTAAGATTGGCCTTGTAATTTTTCCTTCTCTTACCTTCCTTTTCACATTTAGTATCACTATTAGGCTAATCTCACATAATGGGTTGAGAAGTTAACCTGTTCTTCCTATCTTCTGAATATGTGTAGGATTTGAGTTATTTCTTTCTCACACACTTGGTAGACTTACCGTGGAGCTCTCTGTCAGAATTTGCTTGGAGTATTTTTTGTCTGTCAATTCAATTTCTTTAAGTGTCGTAGGACTCTTTAGGATTGTTTGTTTTGGTTGGTTTGACAAGTTATATTTTTCTAGGAATTTGTCATTGTCAATTAAAATTTCAAACTTATGGGCATGAAAATATTCCTAATGCCCCCTCACCTGTTTAATGTTTGCAGGATTTCTTGAGAGGTTTCTTTTTTTTATTGTTCCTTTTGTTTTTTCTTTTTCTTTCTGTCACTCTCACCAGAATTGATATCAAGTTCACTGGGGGTTTTTTTGAAGGAACCAATTTCTGGATGGTTAACCCTTCCTGTTATTTTTAATGTCCTTGACTTATGCTATATGTTTATTATTGTCTTCTTTCTCTCTTTGGGATTACTTTGCTGTCTTATTGAGATGGATGCTTAGCTTATTAATTTCCAGGCATTATTATTTTCCCATTTAAGGGTACTAATTTTCCTCTGTGGTAGGCAATTAGAAAGATATTAGCAAAGCAAGGATGGTGGGCCAGGTTACCAGGGTGGAAAGCCTTGGGTACCTAGCAACAGGCACAACTGGGCTGGGACCTCACCCCCAGGGTAACTTTTCCTACCCTACCATATCTCTGGTCATATGGTTGGGACCCTCCCCTGACCTTTTTTCCCCTGGTATGTTACTAGTCTTGGGAGTTAGACACCCCTCCTCCTCCCTGTGCTTAGGTGGGGAAGGAATAAAGGGGTGGGAGAATAGCCCTTAAGCATTAAGCCCCCAGGACAAAGAGGTTCTGACCTACCCATGTCAAATATTAATACATCTAGGCCTCAGTTGTGTTTCAACTCCAGGCCCAGAAAAGCAGCAAAACTAGACAGGTGACACCATGGCTGATGGCAAGACCAGGTGCATTGACTAATGATGACCTGGCACCAACCAATCAGTAGAGACCATGACCCTGAAAGGGCACTCTTGGAAAGCTGAGAAATACTCTGTGGGGATCCTCTCCTGAGACCTCTAGATAAATACCCTCAAAGCAGAGGATCCAGTGTGGCTCTCTATGGAGCAAGCTGTGCCTTTCCCCACGCCCTCCCTACCAGGCGCTTTTTCCTTGCCTCTGGCTTTCTCTGGAGCTCCAAGGCCCCTTTTTTTGTCTCTGCAAATTGTTTCCTGAGTCCATTTCTTCTATGCTCAATTCTGCCTGTGTGACTTTCTAAATAAACTTTCTCTTACAGTTTCAGTCTTAACTGTGAATTCTTTGTCTTAGCCCCTTAGCCAGATCTCAAGTATCCAGGTGGCTGAACTGAGATCCAGCCTGACTGTGCCGTTTCACCATCAACACCTCTGCTTA